ATGCCTATATACATACATACATACATACATACATACATACATACATACATACATACATACCTACCTACCTACCTACCTACATACATACATACATACACACAGTTATGCATACCTACCTACATACATGCATACATACATACAGGCAAACATACATACAGACATACATGCATATGAGAGAGAGAGAGAGAGAGATGAAAGAGAGAGAGAGAGAGAGAGAGCACCCGTCGCACACTCCCAAAGGGAGGGAGGCCCCCCCTTAGCTACCCTCCCCCTTGGTACTCCCCTGCCCGACGCCCCCCTTTTTTTCTCCTCCGCCCTTCGGAAGCTGCCCCCCCCCCCCTCCCCCTCCCCCCCGCTTCGCGCTCCGGAAGCTGCCCCCCTCCCCCTCTTTACAGGGACGGGGGGCTTAGCTATCCCACCCGCCCTGGAAGCCCCCCCTGCCAGAAGTCCCCCCCCCCTCCCCCGCTTTTTTCCCGCCCCTCGGAAATTACCAACCAAAGGGGCGCCGAAAACCCATAGGGCACCGACAACCAAAACGGCGCCGAAAACCAAAGGAGCGCCGAAAACCAAAGGGGCGCCGAAAATCACAAGGGCTCCGAGAACCAAAGGATCACCGAAAACCAAAAGGGCGCCGAAAACCAAGGGGGCGCCGAGAACCAATGGGGGCGCAGAAAACCACGAGGAGGACGAAAACAAAAAAAACGCCGAACACAAAAAGAAGCGCCGAAAACCAAGCATGCGCCGGAGACCGAAAGGGCGACGAAAACTAAAAGGATGCCGAAAACATAAGAGGTGCCGAAAGCCAAGAGGGCGCCAAAAACCAAAGGGGCGCCGAACACCCACAGGGCGCCGAAAACCAAAAGGAGGGAGGAAATCAAATGAGCGCCGAAAACCAACGATGTGCCGAAAACAAAAAAAGAGCAGAAAACCACAAAGGCACCGAAAACCAAAAAGGCGCAGAACAGCAAAGGGGCGCCGAAAACCATGGGGGGGGTCAAAATCCAAGTGGGCTTCGAAAACCAAAGAGGCGCCGAAAACCAAAGGGGCACTGCAAGCCAACGATGCGCCGAAAATCAAAGGGGCGCCGAAAAACCAAAGGGGCGCCGGTAACCAAAACAGAGGCGGGGCTAAAGGCGATGTTGCTGAGCGGTGATGTTGGGAACTACAATTTCCTACATTTCCAATCTGCGAATGGATCGAGCGAACACGACACAGCAAATTGTAGGAATGCGCGAGCCACGTGTTCCCACACTACCCAAACCTACATCGCCAGGACCTACATCGCCGTTAGCTCGTCTACGGCAAAAGGGCGTCGAAAACCAACGGGCGCCAAAAACCAAAGGAACGCTGAAAGCCGAAGGGCGCCGAAAACCAAGAATGCGCCGAAAACCAAAGAGCGCCGAAAACCAAAAGGGCGCCGAAAACCAAAAGGGCGCAATCATCCAAGAGGCCGCCGAAAACCAATGCGCGGAAAACCACAAGGGTGCGCAGAAAACAAAAGGGGCGCCGAAAACCAAGGAAGCGCCGAAAACCACGGGAGCGCCGAACACATAAGGGGCGCCGAAAACAAAAGGGGCGCCAAAGACCAAAGGGGTGCCGAAAACCCAAGAGGCACCGAAAACTTAAGAGATGCCAGAACCACGAGAACGCCTAAAACCAACGGGGCACCGAACACCAAAAAGAAAAATAGCTTCGAAGCCCCCCCGTTCAGCCAGGGCCCTCCAGCTCAACAAGCCAACAGAAGGAGAGGAGGGGGGGAGGGGGGGAGAGGAGGAGGGGGGGGGAGCTACAACATCCCAACAGGAGGAGGGGGGGGCGGCAGCTTCGGAAGCCCCCCACCCCGTTCCTCTTTGAAAGGGGAGACCGTGCTAACCCCGGGCCCCGAAAAGGGGGAGAGGGGGGGGAAGGAGTTTCCAAGCCCCCCACTCAGCTATGGCCCCCGAGCTAAAACATGCCCGCAAAACAGGGGAGGGGGGGGGAGTAGCTTCGGGAGCCCCCCCTTTTCCGAGGGGGGAGGGTAGCTTGGAGATGGCCCCCCCCCTGTAGTAAGGAGAGTGCGACTGGCGCGCTCTTTCATCTCTATATACGCATGCATACGAACGTACACACATGAGGAGGAGACGGAGGAGGTGGAGGAAGCGAGAAATTCAGGAGGACTGGGGGGACGCGGAGAAAGGAGAAGGACGAGAGAAAAGGGAAGAGGAGGGAGAAGGACGAGGACGGGGAGGAGGGAAGAGGAGGAGGACGAGAGGGAAGGGAAGGGGAGGAGGGAGAGGACGAGGAGGAGGAGGTCCGCGCGCCTCCACGCGTCCGTCTTCAGGGGGTGCTGCGGACAGCCAGAGGGCATGCGCATGTAGCACCCCGCGGCCTTGGGGATCGCGGCGATGGTGTCGGCCTTGGTGGCCTCGGCCGCCTGGGCCGGGCGAGGGAGGCGGACCCCAGACGTCCATCACACTGAATTTGAGCAGGGGCCGACCGCCCCGGCGTTCCTAGAGTCCCACCACGAAGTGTTCTCAGAACCCAAACATGCTCGAAATAGCAACAACCATGTTCTTAGAACAGAAGCCCGATGTGTGAAAGCAAGACAAGCTCAGCCAGAAATGTTCTAAGAACATTTCGTGGAAACCACAGAAGGTTCTTAGAACAGTGTTTGGTAGGCCTATAGACACGCCAGGACGCTTCGCCACTGCTAGATAAATCGACGACACCCCTGCTCAGAGTCAAGAAAGATGCACGCTAAGAAGATGGGCTTCGCTCCAAACGTTCTCTGGGACAGTGGTCCAGGTCCAAATCTACGAAGGCTTCCACGAGAACAGGGAGCTCCGAGGGAACGCCCAGGGTCCCGTCCAGATTCTTAAGCATATGAAAAGAATTCTGGAACCCATGACGTTGCCGTTTTTTATACTGATTTCTGATGGGTGTACCCGCAAGAGTGACTCTGGGTAAAAGTGACCTTTGGTGCGCGGCTTCTTGAAAGCAGCGGGGGGGTTCAACACACAAGCGCGCATCGCGTTCGGCGATCGGGGAACCCCAGTGGGCCCGCACCCGAGGTCACCCTGGCGAAGGGTCACTCTTACGTACGTGCAGCCGGCTGAAGAAATCAAGAAGTAAGCTTTAAGTTGGCGGTTTCCGGGGCCCCCGCTGGGCCTCTGGACAGTGGACGAATGCCTCCGGGCAGAAAGCTTGCCCTGGGAACATTGTCGGGACGTCAGGGGACCCCGTAATGGGAAAATCCAAACGTCGGATATCTGAGGTTGCCAAGGGGGGGTTGCGCATTAGCTGGCGTAGCTGATTTTCGCAACGCCGAGCAACCACATGTGGTCGAAAAAAGCGACCAGGACGCGAGGCCGAAACCGGCTGCACGCAGGAGGCTTCCTAACCCATCTCCGCGGTACACCCTCCAGAGTGCGATGAACAATGAAGACGTTGAAATTGTCAACTCCACCGCTCGCGCGAAATTGTCAACTCCACCGCTCGCGCAAACATCCCACCCTCCCACCCGCAAATTGTTTGGCAGCACCCATTCCGCCACGATTGCGATTACTCGTCGGCACCTCCTAGCGCATCTCTGCGGCCGCGCTGGCGCTCGCACGCTCGCGCGCACACAGCGACCGGCTGGATTGGCACCAATGATGCGGCCGCGATGGCGCTCACCGGTGGGAACTTCCCTGAACTTTTCAAAGGCCGCGCTGGCGCGCGGGCACTTCAGTGCGGATCGACAACCCGGGCGGGCGTGATACCATGACCACGTCGACAACGGCAATGGCGGCGCCAATACTGGTGACGACGATGACGATAATGATGCCCATCTGCCGGTGATGAAGGCGATTGTGTTGATAATGGCGGCAATTGCGGCGATTGACAATGACGATAGCGACGGTCGGTGGCGCTGATAAGGCTGATGGAACAATGCGCGTGCAGAAATTCAAGAATTCAGGCAGACTTGCTGTGGAGAAACTGTTTCTGGTTCATATGTGTATGAAGAGCCATTGATTGAAATACGCCGAGTGGCCCGCATGGTATGATTTGATACGGGTTCGTGCCCTGGGTGCATGCCGGATCAACGCGGGTGCACCGCGTGGTGACATGATAATGCAGGTTATCCACGGGATTGCTGAAACATGCAGCTTTCAACTGATTTCCCTTGTTTCCAATAATAACTATGAAAGACGGATTGATGATCAATGCTTTGTGTTTGGAGGTGCTTGCGCATCTGGTGTTTGATATTAGTTCGACATGTGCGCGCGCGAGTGGACTGCATGGTACTGTTTTGGAATGGGCTCTTACAAACTGATTGGTTGAAATAGACGAGTGTGCGCGCATGGTGTCATTTAACAAACATGACGGGGGGAACCGACATATCGGCTTAATGTGGATCCATATGCAAAAAAATGAGCGATGATACAGAATTGCAAGACAACTGCAGTGTCTTAGAGGGGCAATAAGTCCGGGCTCGGGAAGGAGCGGATCCAATTATGCTTGTGGAAGAAGAAGAAGATGCGCCAATTGCTTGCGCACTTGTGTACAACTAGGTGCGTTTGCCTTTAAACGTTTATGTGTATATATACATGTACACACGCATCCATCACCGTGCCTCGAGACACGAAGTGAAATGCTCCCCAGGCTTCTAGAATTCTGTGCGCTCTGTACTCAATATGTATTTTTTCCGGGCGCTCTCGCGCTTTCTCGGGCTTCCCCACACGACTTGTCCAGGGACCGGAGGGCCCCTACGAAGGGCCAAGTAGTCCCCCAAGAAGGTCCTAAATAGCTCCGAGGTCGCCCACATATCGCTTCACGGCGCCCCAGATAGCCCACAGACTGCCCAACAGGCCCCCAAGACGCCCCCCGAGGGCTCCAAAAGGGCACCGAGATGCAATACTCATAGATTTTCTGAAGGTGTTTCGACGCTCCAAGACGGCCGCCCCAGAGGCACCCAAGATCGCCCCCAAGACGGCCCAAGAGACCACAAGAGCGTCCCCAGACAGCCCAAGGTAGACCCAAGATGGTCGAAGAGGTCCCCAAGACAGCCCAGTAGGGCCCCAAGGTGGGCCCCAAAGATGCCCCAAATCGAGCCCCTCGCCTCGAGATGGCCCCCGAGACCGTCAGCAGGCCTCCAAGAGCCGCCCCACAAGGAGGCGTCTGATAGGCCCAAATCAGGTCCCAAGAGGCCCCCCAGAGACTACCGCGAGACCCCAAGACACTCCAAAACCAAACCCAAGACGCCTCCGAGAGGCCTCCAACGACATCCCCAAAAGTATCCCAGAGGCCTTCGACCTACAACCCAGGCGCGGCGGCAGGATGGAGGCCACTATGTATGATTCAGGGTTGCCCCCCCCCAATGCATCTGGAATCGCCCCCCCCCCGAGGGATGGGTACGCCCGTGAGCATCGCCAAGGCCTCGCGAATGGGATCGCTCCCCCCCCCGTGGTCGTGGCGTGGTGGTGGTGGCTGCCGGTGTCACCCTCCCCTGTGGGTGCGGAGTGGCTCGTCATCGTCGTCGTCGTCGTCGTCTTCCGTCGGCGTCGTCGGCGTCGGCGTCGGCGTCGGCGTCGTCGTCGTCGTCTTTCGCCGGCGTCAGCGGCGGCGTCGGTGTCGGCGTCGACGTCTTCTGCGTCGGAGACGGCGTCGGCGCCGGCGCCAGCGTGGGTGTCGGCGTCGGCGTCGGCGTCGGCGTCCGCGTCGGCGTCAGCATCGTCGTCAGCGTCGTCGTCGTCGTCGTGGTCGTCGTCGTCGTCAATGTCGTCGTCAATGTCGTCGGCGTCGGCGTCGGCGTCGTCGTCGGCGTCGTATTTGTCGTCGTCGTTGTCGTCGTCGTCGTCGCCCCCCCATCCCACCTGGGGGGGGCCTGTGGGGCTGTGGGGCCATGGGACCCATCCCATCTGGGAGGGGGCTGGGAACCCTGTGGCCGTCCCCTGTGGCCTGCTACATGGGTTCACGGCGTGCCGGCCGTTTTTGGTAGCTGTTGTATCCTATGAAAGTTCCAAGTGGACCTTCGGCCCAACCCTCTAATTGTGTCAACAGGTGGGAGGCAAGGGTTTTTCCGCTCCATAAGGACCTGTCAACTTCCCAGGTCGTCGGTCTTCCCGCTCCAGACGGCCCCACGATGGTTATCAAAACGGCCAAGATGGCCCCAAGAGAGCCCGAGATGGTCCCACGATGTCTTCAAGACGGGCCGATATGCCCCAAAGATGGGCCAAGATGGCCCCAATATCTCCAAAGACAGCCCAAGAGGCCTTCAAGAGGACCTCCAGGAATGCCCGAAAAGGCCAAAAGCATTAATTTCCCGTAGGTGTTTGATTGATGTTGACGTTTGCTCATGTTCTGCCTTCCGACGGCCCAAGACGGCCCGAGAGGCCACCAAAAAAAAACCCAAGTGCCCAAGAGGCCTCCGAAATGGCCCCCCCTTCCCCCCCCCTACGGCACAAGAAGCCTCCAAGACGGCCCCAAAATGGCCCAGGAGCCTTCCAAGATGCGAAAAACCGCCCTCAAGACAAATCATAAACGCCCCAAGAGGGCCCCAAGTCGGTCCAGAGAGAACCCCAAGACGGGCTCGAATGGGCGTCAGACGGGCCAGGAACGCCTTCAGACGGCCAAGGAGTCTCCCAAGGAGCCCGCAGAGGTGCCCAAGAGGCCCCAGAGAGCCCCCCAAGAGGACTCCAATAGGCCTCCAAAAGGCTCCCAAGAGGCCTCCTCCTCCTCCTCCTCCTCCTCCTCCTCCTCCTCCTCCTCCTGTTTCTCGGCATCCTCACGTCTTCTTCTCCTCATCCTCTCTTTTCCTGGGATTGTCGTTGTTTCTGTGTAGATCTTTGTTTTGTCTCTCCCTTTCTCTCTTTCCGGTGCGAGCGCCGGTCCTGACAATCGACAGGCAGCGAAGGACTAGTGGTCGGAGCGTTCAACGGAGTACTAAATGCATTACGCCAGCGGGCGAGAGTTAATTCGCCCGCCTCCGAGCGGTGCAGACGGCTGGCCATGCCTTCCTCACCTTGTGCGTTGCACAGAAGGAACGGCTCCCTCTCTGGATCGGAAGGGTGTTCTTGGGGTCGCGGGGAATACTTGGAAAGGCCCGCAAGCACCACAAGCTCAAACTTAGTCTTCGGAAGCACCAGGGGGCGAGCGGCGCCTGGCCAACAACTGGCCCTGAACAGCGATTCTGGATTCTGCTGTGGCGGATGAAAAACGAGCGGCGCCCCTGAAAGCCGCGATCCCTGGTAAAAGCCACAGGATCGGCGCACCTGACGTTCGCAGGCGCTCCCAAGCGCCCCCAGGCGCTCCTAAGCGCTCCCAGGCGTTGCACAGCGCCCAAGCGCGCCCAAGCGGCCCCAGGCGCCCGGCAGGCGGTCCGCTCCCAATCGCTCCCAGGAGGCACTCCACGAGCGCCTACGCGTTCCCAGGCAGCCCCGGGGGCCCCCCAGG